TGTGAGAAATGTAAATTAGATTAAACATAGAAAGACATATTGAAATGTGCCAAGTCAAAATTTTTTTTCTTGCTCGTTTTTACTCGAAATTGCATTATTTTTGCTTCATTTTCTTCAAAAGTTTATTTTTTGTACTTGAAACCAAAAATATGCAAAATATCTTCCTTTAAAGTGTGATATCATTGAAAATCATTAAAATTGAGCATAAAATATATATGAAAAGTAATTTATAGGTGTGTCAAATTACTGGGGTATTTGAGTTTCTTTCATGAATGTTTGTTCCTAATCAGCCTGGGTGGCTCTTTGGATTGTCAGACTAACATTCAGTCGCTTGTCTGACTTAAAGTAGGCTACCAACCTTTCAGTCAGCTAGCAACTGGTCAACTGGTACTTTTTTGGCCGGTCAGTTTCATGCCTATTTACAGTTTTTTGTTAAGTGATAATCTTCATTTTACCCCTTTTGATCAGGACAACTAGATTGTCTCGAGATTTATGCAGATCATTTTTTAGTGTATAATTATATTCTCTAATTTGAAATGCTTGCTATTCTAACAACACTTACTTTTTTAAATACACAATTTAGTTGCATATAATTCTACCCATAATGTTTATGCATGACATAAAATATGTACATATATCACAATAGTAATAGAACTTGTACAATATAGTTGCATTTACAATTCTTAGCCCATATTTGAATCTTTCTAGGTCCATGTCAAGATGCTCTAATTCCTACTTTTCACTAGCCAAAATTTTAAAAAATCTATAATTCATATTGAAAGTTATGTGTGACATAATTCAAATCAACAAAAATAGGCAAACAAAACATATTAAACGCATCATGAATTCTTATGATTATTCTTTTTTGTAGAATTGATGCTGGTTTTCTCATGATGTTCAAGCTGATAGATTTAAATGAAAAATTTTTTTGTCTTTTTTTCTCTTGTTTTTCTTGTTATATAAATCTCTATCCACTAGAAACCCTATTAATTATGTACCGTTTATCCACTAAAATAAAGGTAAATAATAATATACGTCAAACTTCAAAGCATCTCCAAATATTATATTTCATTAGGGCTTTATATATTTTTGTATTATAAAAAAAACTCTTCATAAATTTTTAATTAGATTTATAATTTAACAATCCACCTTAACAAAACGGGCAAAGCTAGCAGTCACATTCCAGCGATTCCTCATCTCATGGGAAAAAGATAGGGTAAAAATTCAAGTATTTTCTTAATTGTCCTTTTCAAATTAAATGAATGTGTTTGACATCGTTGGATAGGCCTTCAATAATTTTCAAATGTAGCGGCATATTTTATTTGGTAGCTAGGCTGTCACTCACACGCCCCCAACTCAACTCAAATTGGAAACACACTTTTCTTTTTTCCATAAATAATCAAACAAAACGATATACAAAATACCTCGAGAATTTAAAACATTCTTGGCTCATTGTAAATTGGAAGATAATTTTTGCTACTATGGACGAATTTGGAGCTTTTTGAAATATATATTATTAGCGGGTAAGGTTTTTGAAGTTGAACAATCTAATTATTTGGGGAGGTTGATTTATTGGTATTTGTCATAATAATTTTTAAGAAAATGTGGAATCAATTTCTGCCATCTAAATTGATTTGAATGGCTGGGATTGAAAATTTATCCTACAGTTATCAGAGCAATTTGTGAAAATGAATCTCCCAATAGTTAAAAATTGCATGTCGTTTAGCAGTATTTTTTTATTGAGGAAAAAAAATCATTTTATATAAATTTTATCAAAATATACATAAAGAGTGCTATTTTCGTTCTGAGATGCACGTCTTTTATGTATAGTATTAATCTCATATAAAGCGAATAATTCTTACGCCGTTCTAATATGATTTTTCTGAGAAATTTTCACCCTTTTTTTTAATGCCTATATGACTACATTTCACA